CCGGCCAGTCTGAGCCAGTGTCCTGTCACCTGCAGCCAAAGCCACCCTAGCTGATAACACACACGTGAGTCACTGATGAAAGATCACAAACCCATCACCTCCGTGGTAAAGCCGTGGAGATGAAAAGTTTTCAGGGTTCCTGTCTCCCTGATGAATCCCTCAAGTGCTTATACAGAGGAGAACGTCGCTGCCACATGGGGGTGACCGTGGACGCCACGTGGGAATGACCGCGGACGCCAGGAGACAGGGCACGATACTGACTGACGGGGGGCGGGGGCAGCCCCGGGTGCAAGTCCCTCACACCAGCTTTTCAAGGCCGTCAGCGCAGCTATGATTACTTTCAATCACAACATTAGCATAATTCAAAAACACAACGTCTTTCTCCTTTACCGTTGAAGAAACGCACGTGAAGTTCACAGCACTATGACCACGTAGATCATTCCTGCATCAGACACGGCCTAGCGCATCCTTCTAACACTAGGGGCGAAAAATGCACAAAATCCAGCCCATAAAATTAAAACACAGCAGCTGGAAGAGACGCCGGAAAGCGAGGTTCTGAAATCCGCTCCGATTTTGTTGCGATGATGGCCAACCCGAACTCTGAATTCAGACGCTTCCCGAAGCAAGGTGGCCGAAGTCCGTCCTGGCAGTCCATCTGCACAGGTGAGCCCCTGCAGAGCTCACACGCCTGACACGGAGCGCCAGGGAAAACACAAACCGGGACAGAAGGCTGAAGGGGGCGGCGCCGGCCTGTCCCGGGAGAGAACACCGCACTTACCTGTGCCCGACAGGCCCCTTAGCCCGGGCTGCAGCAACAGATCCCCGCCGGCCCGGCCGCCCGAGCGGCACACATTTCCTTCCCACACTTGCGCAAGATCGCGGAGCCGGCGAGGGTGCTTCTGCCGAGGACCGCTGCTTTCTCGAGTGTCCCGGGTGCGGCAGGGAGGGAGAGGGGCCCCTATCCCACCCAGAGGGCGCCGCCCTCAGACCGCACCTACCTCCCGGGGGCCCCCCCTTCTGATACAACACACCGGAGATGAGGGTTTCAACATACGAGTTTGTGGGGACAAAAAGATGCCACCCTCAACACGATATTCTAGGAGCGGTACACCTAGGAGGACTTACGAGGAGCTCCTCACCGGACCTCACTCACAGACTACATCTACCCCCCACCCCAACACACACACACGCACGCACACGCAAACACACACACACACACACACACACACACACACACGAGGGCAGGGCAGGGCTGCACGGCCGTGGGGATGACCTGTGGGGATGAACCGTGGGGATGACCACAGGACAGGAACTGACCATCCAGGGTCAGCAACCCTACAGTCAGGAAGTTGAGTGACAGGGATTTGTGGAATTTTTAACAGAAAACACCAGAAAGCCAGAGATTCCCGGGAAAGTAACAAATCATAGGGTAAGAGTCAGCCAATTCGATGCCAAAGACGGACCACGAATTTTCTGACCGTGGCTTCCCCGGCCAGGTTAAAGTCTGCTGGGGAGTAGCCCCAGGCTGTCAAAGCCCGTTCCCGTTCCCCATCGCGACCAGCGGCGCCTGAGGCACACAGCACGTGATCAATACTTGCTCACGAGTTCAAGGAAGAGTGAAGAATCCAGGTAAGAGCAGAGAAGCCGCATAAAAAAACGAGACCATTTCAAAGTACATTTAGCTAACCGCTAGTGCGTGAGGGCCGGGAAAACAGCCAACAACCGTAAAACGAGAAAAAGCTTTAAAGGCATCTGCACAATCAAAATCCCTCCACTAAAGCTCATGTGCTTGTTTTATGTTTTAAATTGCAGTGTCTCTCGAGCCCTTACTCAGAACCTCCCCTTCCCCATCCATCTGCCCACAGTTCT